AACCCTGAGCACCAGAACACCTCTGACAGTGAACACAACACATTTATACCAAAAAAAAGTAGATACTCATATATAAGAGAAAAAAGATTATTGGCCTGTAAAAAAATTTAAAGAATTTGATGAAGTGGTGAGTCAGAAATCGCGAAATGCTGAAAAAGTTTCAAACACCTGAACAAACATAGTAGGTTGGCACTCACATGTCATTTTGAAAGTGTGAGAAATTGATCAAATTTGGCCCTTGGGTTCTGTGTCTACAGTCTAGCGGTGGCAATCTTGCCCTGGTAGCAGTTCTCTATCTACCTTCCTGTAATATGGCTAGTGTAACTAATTCTATAGTTCCAGATACATTTCTCTATCCATCGACCCTTCAACAACCGTCGATGCCACAATTCCATCCACAGTGAGAAGTGCGGTTGCCACCCAGTCAGCTCCTTCCCTCCACATGCAGTACATGCCAGTCCCCACACCATCATATGTGCACCTGCTGAACAATTGCCCAATTGCAATCTTTGCTGTCAGGCACACCTACCTTGCCATGAAACGATCCAACACCAATGTAGCTGTCAAAAGACACATTCCAAGGACAAATCATTGGTTCATTGTGGCACAGCATCCTTTTTTGGCATGCCCATTTGCTCAAGTGGCAGTCTTGTCACTTCTCTTTGGGCTTGTACTGGCTAATACAAGTAATGTAGTTATTGCGCAGAAGGGCTGTGCATGGTGTGGTTGGTGAGTTGATGAGAGGTCAAACAGGCTAAATTAACTAAGTAGCAAATTTGCTCATGTTTTTGAAAATGATGCAAGAGTGCCAACCCTTCTGAAAATAGCTGTAAATTGACTGCTGCATGATACAATCCTACTATTTCAGTTTTTTATCCCACTACCTGGGGCTAAATCCCATTATTTTACTCTTATAATATAAGCTCACTATTACTATGCTTGTGATCACCCTTTCGAAAACTGTGAGAAAAATACACACCTGTGCTGGTCTTTTTTGGTTCTTAAATATTTACAAAAACATGGCAACTGGCAACTGGACTGACCACAAATGTGGGCAACTGCAACTGGAAAAAGACTAGACTGAACCACGTATATTTTCAGACCTGTAGACTGGACTTGCGAACACTAGTCTCGATGGGTACACATAGTGTTTGAAAGTCCGGTTCGGTCCGGTTTTTTGATGCCCAGGGGCATTAACCGTAACCGTAACTGGTCTGCCTTTTCCCCAGAAGTCAAAAGACCAGACCAGACCGCAAAAAGACCGCAGACCACAGTTTTTTGCGGTCTATAGACTGGTTTCGGTCTGCATCGGTTTTAACCGGTTTATGGCCGGTCTTTAGGCCAATATTTTAAAATTATGAATCGGTAAATTTACTGACATTTTTATTAGCTTCACAACGAGCCCAAGAACGTTAAATTCCGTTAGGAACTGGTGCTTCTATAAAATAAATCTGGTACATCTATTATTCCCAAAAGTAATTTACATTTTAATTCATATCTCTCTCGTTTCTGACCAAATCGA